GACTGTCTCGGCGTTTCGACTTATTTTGCTATTACAGACCAGAAAACTGTTATAGCGTTTTTGAATTTTGTGCCACAGTAGGCAAAGACTGTCCTGGCGGTTGGATATGGTGCCACAGCGGGATCAGGCTGTCTCGGCGTTTAGATATAGGATTTTTGATTTTTGTTGTTTTATTTGGTGTTTTTAATTGTTTTTGGTTTCGTTTGGTAGTCTCCCTATTAGTCATTGGGGCGGTCTGTGCGTTCTCGAAGATTTTCGCATTTCGAACACGTCGCAAGAATACCGACAATACCCCCTCTAGCACCTCAACGAGAGGGCTGCACACATTAGAGGTGGCGTAAATCGGTTTCTCGCGACGTGTTACCCCTATATCTGATAGAAAATTGACGAGTTTTGATGAAAGATTTCTGCTTAAAAGTTGGTGTGTGTGTGTTATTGCGGTCCCCTTGTCCATAAGACAAAACATGTTTCTTTACTTTACCCCCCTCCGGGCCCCCGGACTAGTGGGAAACACTGTTTTTTTTTCTGGCCCGCTCGTGACACTGCCCATAGCGCAATTTACCTTTTCCATCAATGAGCGGGTGCCCAGGGAACCCGGCCGGGATTACTGTACTGGCGAGGCAAATGGGTGGGCTCGCGGTACGGGGTGGGGCGGTCTTTATATTTAAAACCAGTGTGGTTCCTGGAACGGCTGGGTGAAAACGTATTGTTTGGTTTGATCGCGCGGTATTGCAATGTACGCTTTTGGTCTTGCAGGGTTGGCCCTCGTGGCTTCGGTCGCGGAGGCGTCGCTTCAGATTGTGCCGGGTGCGACATGGACAGCAGTATGTGTTCTTGCGAGCATGGGATGATGCTTCACTAATACGAGTCAGACCAACAATGGGCAAGGCGTGCAAGCCCACGGCGGAGGCATGTTCAAAGAAGGCAACAAGTGGTACTGGTACGCGGCGTACTGCTCTGCCATATGGCCACTCTGATCCGCAATTAACGTCCACAAAAGGGTCGGCGAAGACAAGACCGACGGGAGCGCATTCCAGAACATCAATTGCTATTCCTCAAGCAACCTGGTCGACTGGGCGTACGAGGGCGCCATACTTTCGCGCACCGCATCCGGCGATACGGGCCCGAACCGCGTCATTGAGCGGCCCAAGATCGTGCACAACAAGAAGACGGGCAAATACGTCCTCTGGATGCACATTGATAGCTCCAACTACGGGGAAGCCAAGGCGGGTGTGGCCACGGGCGACCAGGTGTGCGGCAAGTACACGTACATTGGCAGCTCGCAGCCGCTGGGATTCCAGAGCAGAGACTCAAGCGTGTTTGTCGACGACGACGGAAAGGGGTATTTGCTTTCAGAAGATGTAGGAATCGTGAAAAGAGTCTCTTTGGGATGTCCACGCCTTGCTAACGAATCCAGCGCCAAAACGGGCTTCGCATTGATGCCCTTTCAGATGACTACCTCCAGGTGACTTCGAGCGTGCACCTCTTCAGCGACGACTACGAGGCGCCGGCGCTCGTCAAGAAGAACGGCGTCTACTTCATGTTTGGCTCCAAGCTCAGCGGATGGGCTCCCAACGACAATCGCTACAGCACGGCGACGTCGCTCGCGGGGCCATGGTCGGCATGGAACACCTTCGCCGACGTAGGATCCAACACGTACGCGTCGCAGACGGCCTTTGTGCTGCCCGTCGGCAACAATTTCATGTACATGGGCGACCGCTGGCACAGCGAGAACCTCATGCGCAGCACGTACGTGTGGCTGCCGCTCACCATCTCGGGCACTACGGCCACCATGAAGAACCACGTGAGCTGGATCATAAACCCCAGCACGGGTGCCATAAGCACAGCGCCCTCGGAGAACACGTATCAGGGCCCCTCTGCCACGCTGGCCAACGGCGCAAAAGTCTCGACGTGCTCGTCGTGCCCGAGCTCGACCTCGAGTTTCGCGGGCAATATCGGTGGGCCGTCCAACGGCTCTGCGACCTTCACCAGTGTACAGTCGTCTGTCGCCACGAGAACCACCATCAGGATCGTGTACCGTAATGGCGATAGCAAACAGCGGTATGCAATGGTCACAGTAAATGGGAAGACGCAGACGATTGCGTTTTTCCCCACTGTTGACAGCGACCCGGGCACGTCGGTGGCAAACGTCGACTTGAAGCAGGGCACCAACCAGATCACGATTGCGGGAATCAATGGGGGATGGGGCCCAGATGTTTTCCGTGTTATTGTGCCTGTGTCGTGAGTAGCGTGGGATTTTCCCTGAGATTTGTAGGCTTAGCACTGATAATAGTATGTGGTCTGCTTACGTGCAATTGCTTGTGCATGGATCGGGGTGATTTTATGTGAATAATCGTTTATGGCACTCCAACCTGATATTATGTAGCGGTTCTACATAGATCAAAATATACAAAGCTGATGGGTGTAACGGGCCGACCTGCAGCTGCTTGAAACCGCTTTATATATTATGCGCAGTTGGGGGTCTCTGGAAGAAAAAGAAAAATACATGACGCGTAGTTGGGGACCTCGAAGAATAGAAAGAAGAAGAGAAAAGAAAGAACGAAACCAGAGCGCTCATGCAACAAACTTCCTCGCCTCGAGTGCTCGTTTACCACCGGCTGTGGCTCCGGCAGTCATCCTGCTCATGACAAACTGGGCGGCGGCGTTGGCATTGGAGCCATACGACAGATGGGGTGGCAGAATGATGGCCTGACCAGCGCAAATGAGATCGCCCTGCGCACAAATGATCTTGGTGTTGGCGGCCGACACTTTACCAACGGGCTTGCCGTTGTTTGGGTCGCCAAAGATGACGGTGCTGGATACAAAAGCCGAGTCTTGGGCGCTGAGCATGCTGGCTGCGTTGTGGGTGAGTTGACCTCCTTGACTATGACGTGTGAGTACGCAGTTGGATAGGCTACAATTAACAAAAGGACTTACGAGTATCCCGCCATAACGAGCGTCGTGTCTGGACATTTGGCGCGGACCTGTCCAACCATCTGCGCCATCAATTTGCTACCACCGGCGTCGCCGCCAACCAGGAAGCCCGGAATATCGGCTGGATATTCGATGCCTTGGACAGCCAAGTTGGACGCACCCATCATCTTGCCAAGGGCACTGACAAAAGGGGGTCCGGCGATGATGCCCATGTTGCCGGGTTCAGTGGTACCACGGGCGAAGAGGACCGTCATGGCCTTGCATCCGCCGCCATTGGTAACGTCATTTTGGGAAATGGATGTCAGGGCGGCCATGGCCACGGTAGGAAAGATGGTGATTAGGAATTTCATGTCGGGTGGCGTATACTGGGTATCTGTTCCGTCAAGGAGATGGCATAAACGTACGACTGGGATGGGTACAAGGTAAAGACTGAATCTATGTGAAGCTTGAAGAGAATGGTCCGGGAGATGGTTCGTGGTCAATGACTGCTTCTTATAATACGACTCAATGCGTCTGCATATGAGATGCCGAGGTAGCGCATCGCAGTCCGGGGCGCCCTCAACGCCCGACATCTGAGTGTGTCATGTTTCCAGATGCTTTCCAAGGGCACATCAAACATCATGCCGCTCCCACAAATAGGACGTTGGATAGCAGTCACTCCCTAGTTGAGACATGTCGTAGCAGTTATTCCCCGTCAGATTAAGCTTGGAGGAACATGCTTGGTGTAGCGCTAAACACGCTGGGACTGCAGGTTGGCACTCGATGCCGCCGTATTGGCACGTTGTCACGATGAACCGACAGACTTGCCAGGGGCCTGTTTTTGGAGATGCGAGCATGAATGGAACGATGGGCCAGGCGAACATCATCAGATGCAAACTGTACCGACCTGAGACGAGATACTTGGCGCTGTTGTAGCTTCAAGGTGTGGTCAGACTGGGCTCCGAAAGAATCAAGCACCTGGCCAAGCACGCGGCATTCCGAGCTGGACGCTTGTAGACACGTGTACGCGCTTGTGCAAAGCCGCCGGGCCTGTCCCGCATCAACGAGAGCAAGCCTTTGGCTGGAGCTGTGGCCCATGGTCCAGCAGGCGTGTGCCAGGCGTCGTTGTAGGGTGGCGGTTTCACCAAGTCGTTGCAGTCTTCAGATTTCGCGTCACGTAGCGTTTTATCGTGGCGGCCAAGAAGTAGCCCATAACTGAGAACGCGCGGCAGTAATAACTTCCGGGAGAGACGCTTCCCACCAGCACGTCGCCATCGCTGGGACTGTGCGAGGGATCTGCGAAGCCTTGTGGGCGGAGTGAGGCGGCAAGGGTGCGGAAGGCGATGAGGTTTCAGATAGCCGTAGTCAGTAGCGTGCGAGTGGTGAGATGCAGCCTTGGGATGACAAAACAAGCCATATGCAGAGTTGTTCGTTTGGAGGCTATGATGCGAGGGGAGCGGAGTGGAGTGGAGTGAAGTGGAGAGGGCGTGGGTGTGTGGGAAGGAATAAGGGCGCTCCACAGCCACAGCATGACTCAGGCAGGCACCAGCGCCCTTTCCCTCCGAATCGGCCTCCCCGCCGCCAGCCTTATTATCATCAACCCATGCCCCCGAGTCAGCAGCATCACAACCCCTCTCCCAGGTCTATCAATTCGTGACGTGAAGCCCTCAATTGCCCAGCATGCCGCTACAACTTCACCCCATCACGTCGCCCGACGACATCGAAACCTTTACTTCCATCCAGAGCGCCGCATTTGCCTACGGCGGCGGCATGACCGCTGCAATGGCACCCGACCCTCTTCCCGAAGGATGGGCGGAGAAGAACATTGAGAAGAACCTCAAATCCTGGCGCGAAGAGCCCGATGTGTTCTATCTCAAGGTTGTCGACACGGACATTGATGGCGGCAAGATGATTGCCGGGGCCAAGTGGCGCATCAACGAAAAGGAGCGCAGTCAAGAGGCGGCGCAAAGGATGTATCCCAGTGCCGACAAGGGGGCAAGCCAGGCCACGGTAGACTTCATGGCGCACCTGAGCAGAGTACGCAAACAGTACATGGGTACCAAGCCCTTCTGCTGTAAGCCGTTCACGTGATTCACATACAAGAGACGTACTAAGCCCAAACAGTGCTGCACCTTCTGGTGACACATCCGGACCATCACCGCAGAGGCGCAGGCACTATGCTGCTGGAATGGGGCCTCAGCAGGGCAGACAAGGCCCGTCTTCCTATACTTCTCGAGGGATCGCGCATGGGCCGGCCATTGTATCAAAGAGTGGGGTTCCAGGTCAAGGAAATCGTTACTTTTGATCTGGCAAAGTATGGCCACGAGGGCACGGATGAGAACATTGTCATGATCAGGGAGCCTGCAGTCGCCGCGACATGAAATAAACACTATGCTCTTCGGCTCAACTTGACTTGCACAGCCACTCCTCGCTCTCTGTACTGCTCCAGCCTCTTCACAAATTCAATATCCCCACCACTCCCGCCCAACACTGACCTTCTTCCCAAAGCCTCGACTTGTATCTCCACCAACTCCTCCATCGTCTCCAGCGCTCCAAAGAAGCATTCCCTATCCACCCTATTCTCCTCACTATCCAAGGCCACCAGCACAGGCTCCACCAAAACCAACGACCTGATTTCCGCCGCCGCACTGCCTGCAAGCGCAAGAAACCCAGCTGCAGTCTTTATTCCTACAAACTTGAGTGACCGCGTCGCGCAAAGATACGATAGCGTTGCGGCGCGTATCTGCCGACACGTGCGCAGTAGAGGCAGATGTAGCGCCCCCGCCGCCAGATGCTCAGGCTTGGTGCAAAACGCCATTGTCACGCACGATAGCCCAGGATACACGACGTAGCCGTAGATTTGGTTGCGGATCTCGCCTGGCAAGTCGAGAAAAGTGCCGCGCATGGCCCGAGGTGGCTATGTAGGTAGGTAGCCATTAGCCCGATTCTGCTGCCTGGAAAGAAGACGTGGTGTATATTACATTCTCAGGTGGTGGTGCTGCTGCTACTGAATCCCCGCGCCGACCCTGAACCCATTTCTTCATTTGCTTCATGTTTGTGTGCTGTGTGATAGCGACGGCTGATGATGCTTTGCTTTGTCCGCGTTGTAAGGACGTCGAGGGCGCCGGTGGACTGACGCCTTGCCTGATTGGCTCTGTCGCCCTGATCATCATCTAATAAACCCTACAGAGCCGAACAGCTGAACAGCCAAACAATCTTGCGATACTTGATGTTCTGCCAGTTAATTCGAACGCCAGAAGAAACCTACTTGTACGCATTACTCAAACTGGCTTTTTATATGGGCCCCGAGACACTACGCACCTATAACTAATCCAAACTATGACATCGCCAGAACTGGAAAACAGACCTGGCAATGGAATAGCTTGGCTTGATATTAGCATTGAGGATATCACTACTCCATCCTGTTGGCAGCCAGCTGAAACATCGCGTCGCTGCAGAGACACAGGCTACACTAGCCGCCACGTGAAAAACGTGTGGACCTCATTGAAACAATACACGCACTTCAGCTAGATGTTTTAGCTACTTGTTATTCATTTTCAAGGTGCACATAGGGTTTTGGTGGTGGTAGTGATGGTACTGGTAGATTGGACTGCATGCACACTGAAACCAACAGCATCTGCATACATATCAGCGCCACCCGATCTCCACGCGCATCACCAACCCCCCATCAATCCTGTACCTACCTTGTCCGAGTCATCTATCTACCTCCTACAGAAAAAACGGCGCCACAAGGTATTAGGAGAGTCAGCGCCAACCAAGGTCCGCCAGCACTGTGCTGAAACCAACCACGTAATAAGCTGCTGCGTGTCGTGGTTTAGAAATTCCTGCAACAAATGCCTAGATTCCTAAGTCAGACCTTGTCTCACACGTGAGGTACAAGGAATCGCTTGCCAGCTAGGTAAGAATACGGGGGGTACGGTATTAATCGCCTATATGCGTGTGTTGCTACGTACTTGCAGGACTATGACTAATACTATGACGATTGTTAAATGAGGTAGGACGTCCGGCCTTGGTACCTCACTGCCGCTGCTGCTGATGGTAAGAGTGACAGGCGTGCATATGAGCAGCACTGAGGCGGTTGGAGCTCCTTGGACAGGAGTGGATGGTGGAGGGATGAGTTGATTGCAGAGATGTCAACAATCAAGCTGAGTCAAGCTCATCAATCAAGCTGGATTGACTCAACGGTCAAGCTGAGTCAAGCCAAGCTCATCAAGCTGTATCAAGCTGTATCAAGCTCGTCAAGCTCATCAAGCTGAGCTTGATAGAGCTTGATGAGCTTGATACGCCCGTGCGTAAAAAAAGAAGAATAACTATGAACTCCTTTACGTAGGCTACTAATCTATAGTAACGTTAACTCTTACCTCTATCTCTAATACTATACGTGTCAATTTATTATATATATCTTCTTATCTTACCAATTTCTTGATTGCAAGCATGCCACCAAAAAGACGCGTCCAAGCTATTGTTGCTACCCCACCGAAGCGGTCTCGGGGC